CTTCCTTAGTAATATGTGTTTCTTATCAGTTGTTATCCATACAGATGGTCTGATAACTTCCAAGGCCAGATAAAAGCACCCCAAACTGCTACAGTAAAACACTACATGCACAAATTCCAAAACAGACTTTACCTGCATTGAAAAGAGAATGGTCAAATAGCAAGTAAACAACTTGCTATTTCCTGAGTGATTTGTCTACGTGTACAGTAACTTGTTCCTACTGGTTACTTTTAATGCAATATCATAAATGATGCCATTTCTCATTAAATAAAATATGAGCAGCTCTAAGTTACCAGTTCTGAAAATCACATACTTGTATGATTATTTTATTCCTGTTCAAGGCAATCCTTAAGAACACAACTGAAGTTCATGTTTGGACATTGTACTGGGGCAAGACCTTAAGATACATAGGAAAACTTTTAAATAGGCTGTTCAAAATCTGCCAGAGAAACCAGCCTTTTATTCTAGGTTTTCTTCTACGTTTCTCACATGCACATCATTGGCAACACTTGTGATGCTCCCAAAGTGCCTTGCTAACGTGCTATTGTATCTTCTTCAAAAATAGGTACTAAATCAAAATGGGAGGGTGGGAAACACTTCTTAAAGTTATTGTGCATGATGTCGGGATGGGGGGCGTACTTGTTCGTTCGTTCTTTTTTTCTGCTACAACAGTAAAGGCAATTTCCTTACAGAAAAGTGAGTAACGGTTGTTAATGGTAACAAGCTACCTCTATGTAGCACCTTTCTTTTGGGAATGTGAACAAATTAATCCTAAAACTCAGACTGGTGACAAAAGTATTATCCTTAAAAACCCAAGGAATGGTGAAATTAATTGATAAAGGTAAATGCTTTGAGACTTAAATGTACCTGGCTTAGAGAAAGAATTGGAGACTGCACTCTGAAAACCACACTGCTCTCAAGCTTTTAGCAAAACCAAAGGCATTCATAATCAACAACCGGTATGAACAACTTTGGCTTTTGTGCCTTGCCTGAAGTGGCACAGACTGTTTATTGCCCACACCTATACCTGACTCAAAGGAGGTCAATGGCATCTCTGGGGATGCTACTTAACGTGGGTGCAGTAAAATAGCATAGTTTTTCGGTCGAGACTGTGAACAGTTACTCATGCTAGTGTTCAGAGGATTCATTTCAACTCATAGAAATGAAGCTGACAGGACGGACAAACCTTGATCCTGAATCACTCAAGTCACTAGGAAATTTTGCCACTGGTGATGAGGGACATAGGATCAAGCCCAGCGCAAACATATGTGACTTAAAATCCCTTCAGTGTCTGGCACTGAGCAGGTAACTTCACGTAGCGTAGTAGTAAAGGACTGTTTACACTGAGAGGCATGTACTGGATACAGGTCAAATACAGCACTACTTCTCTACAGTCTGGTTGCCATTTGAGGATGGAAGGTAAGAAATTCAGACAGGTCCTCATTGCAATCTGCTAGAGAATCACTCACTTTTGATTATGTGCATTTATTTCTAGTGTACAAAAGAAAAAATTCAGTTGTTATCCTCCTAAAACATCCCTTTCTTACCAGTTTCTACTCAGATAACGCTTGATCTCAGGCCATTTGAAGTAAAAGACTCCAATGGACTTCAATGTTTTCCGAATCAGATCAGTTTTTCAGACTTGCATCTTCTGAAACAGGATAATTAAACTTCTGATTTCAAGAAGAGTGGTGAACTGTATGCATGTAAAAGGAAATTGATGTTGCAGGAATGGCACTAGCAGCGAGACTTTAGGCATAACTACAATCCAGTCATGTAATTCTTTGGCACTTAGGTGCCTGAAACTTCCACTGTGTTACATACCAGAAAAAATCCTGGTAATGTTAACTTAAGAGATCTTGTTAAGGCATGTGAGACAAGGAAAAAAAAAACCTCAGATTTCACAAGACAGAAGTGTGACAGGGAAACTACCCCAGTGACTTCAGTGGGGTGAATAAGACCCTTGCAATCCCCCACAGCGTATTAGATCAAGCAATGCAAAAGGAAAGTCCTTCAAGTCCGAGATAGAAATGTGATCCCCATCAGCTTCTGGCAGGAAATTCAGCTTTCAGCTGTTGTCTACAGCTAGCATTACTATACTAACAAGATAGGTGGAAATGAAAACCAGTGTGTCAGCTGTAGCGGAAACTCCTGTCTCGAGGGTATGGAGCAAAACCATAATCCAACTTAAATACAGTTTCCTGTGTTAGTTTCATTGTTTGTGACAAGCAATGAGGGTGAAATACGTTGCTTGATTCCTTCTCAGAGTGTTATAAGGGAGATTTCTTTCACGAAGAAAGCAAGCCTTTGCATTTCTAAATTATTTTGTTTCCATTTAGTCATTGTACTTCCATAGTATAGATTTTGTTTCCATTTTAAGGTGTTAAAATGTGCAGATAATAAGCCCATAAGTTGCATATCTTCAAGTAGAATACGCAGAATGAAGGTGATGTGTCTTTCAAAGGTGTTCTGGATCACAGTTTTAAAGTCTACTTGCTTTACTTTAAAGTCTACTTCAAAGTCGCATATCCTAGTTCTGCAAAAAAGAAAATCCAGTTTCATCTACATTGCCTGAGGTCTGTACCTGTTGTGTCTAAAAAATGTGCCAATACTTGATTTAATCATATAGCCTATGGCAATCCTTTACTCCTGTTTTATTTTAATAAACCATATAAACATTAAAAACCAACAAACAAACAAACAAATTGCCTAGTTCTCATGGCTTTGGAACCTAACTTTTCCCCATCCTGTATACTTCAGAGTGTTTCTTTTTCTGAAACTCCAGTAAAGAGCTTCATCTATCTAATGTACTCCTTATTGCCATGCTAACTCAAATATATCTCCTAGGAGACAGGCAGCTTCTATCCGGGCAGCTACACCATTTTGCAATAAGGAAGCTGGGCACAAAGGAATTAAAGCCTAAATCCTCAAAGGTATCTAATTTGCTCTGGAATCACCTTTGAGGATGACAATCCTCTCTGCAGATCCTGGCGTGACTATCCCACAGCCACAAAAGTCTACAGCAAAGAACTGGACTGAGGTCTCCTAAATTCTAGGTTAATGCTTTAGACATGTGATCATCTTTTCTTTGAGTTTATCAATCTTCCACTTTATGTACATGCAATAAGTCTTATTTACTTGCTGACTTTGTCCTGGATTATTTTTATATTTTTCCTTCGCAAGGGACTCACTTTAAGCTGAAAATTCCTAATAGGGTCATGTTTTCAAATGGGCACTTCTAAAGTAAGATACCTAAATAAACTGTTGTGGTTGTCACTCACACAAATATGCAACAATTTCAATAAGAGTTATAAATACAAAGCAGACATGAAAATCAGGCCATTTAAGTGTGCACATATGGATTCAGGTGGATAGCTTCAAATACCAAAGGGCATGTTTAAGATGACATCCCATATCAGATACACACTATATAGAAAATATACTTGCCTATATATTCTTTTTGCAAAGCCATTATAGACCTTTGGAGAGCCTTAGGCAAAATGTCCGCATTCAAATACCCACAAGGAATAGAAGATTCTGATCTCAGCTTTGTGATTCAGGCCTGCTCTCTGTTACTTGGAACAACAGCAAGTAGTTGTTGGTTGTGCAAGAACGCTTAAGGGTGTGGAAATGCTACATTCGACTAGGAAGAGCTGTGGCTCAGCATGTGTGCAGTGTGCAGAGCACCTTTAGGCTGAGTCACTGCTAGTGTTACTCATTTTTGCTGTGGCAGTGTGCAAAAGCTCTGCTTCAAATGAGTAGCCCATTATTCTAGATATTATTCAGGAGAAAATAGGATTCTTGCTATCCGTTGCCAGAGTCTTATAAATCATGCTAAGTCCTGCATCAAATGCTCTAAGATGTGGTCAGGTAAGCCGCCAGCAAGTGCTAGGTTTCTAACCCTGCACGTGTGCACTCTCCATTATTCCTCACTTCTATAGTGCTTGCTAT